AATTATACGTCGTTTGTCAAAAAAGTATATGGAAAAATAAAAATCAAGTTTAAGTCATTTTATTCGACTTTACGTCTGTCCGCCACAAATATTGAAGTCATAATATCACTAGAAAAATGTTTAAAGCACATAAAATCATATTAAAATATATACATTTACAAGTATGTACTGTATTTACAGTACATGCATTCATAAATTTAGATTACTTTTTTCTGTACTATATTAAAAACTAAAATTTATTTGTTTGCAAGCTTAAAATAGATCCTTATTAACCATACATTATTAAAAATGCATTAATAAATAAAATACAGAACCGGAATTGGCAATTTATGGTTTAGTCTAGTGACAAGTAGATTTGGAGACAAGTAAATTTGACTTACGTCGTTTTTTGACTTAAGTCGTTCTCCTGGAACCAATTACCGATGTAAGGCGAGGTATACCTCTATGTTGTTTTGTGCCATATATCATGACGTATTATTTCACTTAGCATTTGAATGAACCACTTTGTTTAGAAAACAGTGTCAGCTGTAAATGCTTCAAGTGTGTCGATACCTATATTATCTTGAAGAGTGCTTCCTACTGTATCATCATTTTCATGGTTCATTGAAAACCTGAATAGCAATGAATCAATCATCAGAGAACTGTTTTACGAACATCATATGATGTCAAACATTAAGCTACAGGTCTTTTATCATGTCCAAATGGGTTTATCAAGTGGTAATAACACATTGTGATGTTGATACGTAGATGTGGACATAGCTTTACAAAGCAGTAGATATTTTCTCATCCAATATTCTAATGATATTGTGTCCTCAGAATATTAAATAATTGATTTTAATTTTATTAATAAATTTGATGAGTTATTATTTGTATCAATTAATGAATATTAAATATTTAAAATCTGAGAAAAATATAATTAATAGGTACAGTGGAACCTTGGTTAACGAACTTAATCTGTTCTGCAACTTTGTTCGTTAACTGAAGCAATTTTTCCCATAGAAATTAATGCAAATACAATTTATCCGTTCTAGCAGCTGGTATTTTTGCAATTTTATTTGTAAAATGGGTTTTTTGATGAAAATATAGGAAAATGCGCTCATAAACAGTCGATCTAGGTTAAATTTTCAGAAAAGGGGAAAGATTTGATGAGTATAAAAGCATCGCATATGATCGTTAAAGTTCTAAAATGACAGACAGTAGAAACAATGGGCTAAATTATTATATGAGTGCAAGGCTTATAGGTTTATCAACAATCTTTGATCAAACTTGACAAACAGGTGTCAAATAGATCTTTCTTGTGACCTGATCTGGTTTTGGTTTTCACCTGGAGACAAAGAAGAAAATAATCAGGAAGTGAGGAATGGGATGCAGGACCAATCAAAGGTGAGATTCAAGGAAGACTGATCAGCTTTTACTATTGTAGGACCAGTGATACGCTGATCCTCAGTGCCAGGAAAAAATACTGTAGATAAACCATTTCCAACTACCTCAAATATGTAAGCATCTTCGCATTGTAATAAACGATTTTCACTGTAAAATACTTGTCATCTTTGTCTCCACCACCACCACCACCACCAACACCAACTTACAAATGGATCCTAGACCATCACCAACACACGATTAACTGATTACCCCCTAAGAGTCAGCAAGCTTACAAATTTGACACAAAAAATCATTAAGTTTGTTATTTGAATTTTGTCTGTTATCGAGACAAAATTTTTGCAAAATGAAAGTTTGTTAACCGATTTGGTCGTTAACTGAGGTTCCACTGTATTAACTTGGGTTTTTTTTGTTTGCAAATAGTGGGACTCAGATTTGAGAAGTCTCTTAATTTTTACTTTGGAATTGATACTTAATCTAATCTCAACAAGTCCAAGTCAAAATATTGTGTGTATTAGTTAATAATCATAAAAGAAGAATTTATTTTTATTGATTTTTTTTTTCTGTACTTTTTGTTTATCCTTAATGATGATGATCAGTTTATCATTACATATACAATTCTAATCCAGTATTAGCTACTCAGAATATTAGTAGAATCATTGTTGTGTATTCCTAGATAGAATTCTGTTATAATGTAATTAAAAATTTCAAAATTATTGTGAATTAATAAATTATTAAGTTTGCACTTTTATTTTTGGTTTTAGAGTTCCTATTAATTTATAGTTATGAAGTCATAAATAAAGAATCAAGTATTTAAATAACGACTTTAATGCATTGATGCTTTGTTAAATATAAATGAAATAAATGTAAAATTGGTATTCACTAATTTTAAATTTTTGATAAATTTTCAGTCTGTAGTGGATGACTGGATTGAAGCATACAAACAAGACAGAGATACTGCATTACTAGATCTAATGCAATTTTTTATCCAGTGTGCTGGTTGTAAAGGTAGAATCACACCAAATATGCAAGCATCTATGGAACATGCTCAGATAATTCGAAAAATGACAGAAGAATTCGATGAGGTGAACACAATTCTTATAAAATAATTTTTCCACCTGAAATTCCTAGCTCTTTACTTCGAAAAATGACAGAAGAATAAAAAACTAAGATCGGTTTCAATTTGAAATTGATGATGGCAAATTTATTTTCGGCTACTGAAATACATTACGGGTATATACATGTAATATCTTTTTAATTTCAGTGAAAATGAAAAAGAAGCAGATGGTCTAGTGAAAGTAATGAAGTAACCGGCAGATTGAACATATAATATAGCCAACGAGAGATATTGGATTTGAGATAGAAAAGGAAAAAAATATTAGTAGAGATTACTGCTATCTTTATGAGCAGTGGTATAGGTATTTCAGAATAATTAGAGTTTCATGAAACTTATTGCCTCTTCAAATTGATAACTAAATTTATTTGAATTGGTTTCATTCCATATTAAATTTATATATGTGTGTGCCTAGTGTTTCCTAGATTGCATTAGGAGCAGCACTTTCTATCCGTACGGGCAGAATTTCACGATAAAACCATACATTTAAAAATATTTAAAAACTGTTNTATAAAATAATTATATTGATTATTTTTAGTATTAATATAATTTATATTTAAATTTTTTTGAACATTTTAGTTAAAGTAGTAAATTTAATACAGTAATCTCCTGATTTAACATAGTTAATACATCCCATAAAAATGATGCACTAATGGATTAATGTAATGCAGATTAATCTAATTAATTCCAAGGCTTCCAAAAATTTTGCTAACTTTTTAAAATATCTTTATTTTTTGTTGTTTTTATTAAGGAAATAACACTACTAAATCATTCATATCTCTAGAAGTTGATTTAATTATTCTAAAGGCAAACATTGATTTAAAATTCTTGTCAAATCATGTATTCAGTTTACAAACAGATTGAAATGAAAAATATTTGTAAACAAGAAAATGACATAAATAATTTGAATTTGAATATAATTGCAAAGTATATCAAAGACATGTGCAAGATTTAAGAGTTTATTAAAGAGATTAGAACAAACTTGAAATATTAGATATGCATTTCACTCTATTTTTCAAGAAATATTTAGAAAGATTAGGTTGGATTATTTTTTATTTTTCTTTTTGGTATAAATCTTCCTATAACAAATTGTTCTACCCACATTTTGGTGAATTTGTATGCTCAATGTCAGGGATGAAATATGAATATTGTTGTTTATATGCTGACCCGATGTTAATTTAAATAAGAATCTAAAAATTTGATTTTTTTAAAAAGTATCATGGTACTCTTTTATGTAATAAAGAAAATTGGAATTAGAAGCTTGAGTCTCATTTTTACTCATTTGTTCCTAAAGGCCTTTGATGTAGACTGAAAATATTGAATGACATTTTTTTTCTCTGCTGGACTATGTATAAGATTACTGAATTGTGCATTTTTACTTAATCTAATGAACTGGAAATGTCAGTTCATTTATCATTAAAATATTGAAGATTTTGATTATAAAATATTAGATTATCAAAAGATATAACAACATAAAATAAAGCCAAAGTTTAGCCAAACTGGTTTGACCATAGCAATCAATTCTTTTCTGCAGCCAAGTAATTTTCCATATGTTCAGTTTATAAAAATTAGTCTGTAAATTTGGTGAAGGCAACAACTTGCCACTCTGGGGCTTCGAGTTTGAGTTAAGATCCTCAAATTTTTCATTGATGGTCTGTCCCTGATATGATGGACCTTATGTCTCACTATCTGGCTATTCAGAAGTCATTATGGGTCTGACAGAACCCACAATATGTGTGATTATTAAAAAGGTATCCTCTTAGTACTCTCAAGGTAGAAAGAGTCAAAACTAAAAAAAAGCACTATATGTTTTGCTTGAATGGCCAGAATATTGTCATTCAGGCCATTTGCTAAGTATTTACTTCTAGCTTGAATCTATGAATCATCCTCAAAAATTAACAGTGCATTCAATGAATTTTTATTCAGATTATTTAAAAGTCTTATCAATTTATAGACATATAAATTTGAGAAATACATTTATTGAATATACAGTAGTATTTGTTTTACATGTACATAAATGATATTGTATATAAATTTGTGCTCTATCCCCGAATATTCCCAAATGATTGACTAGATTCTTATGCCACCATTTACAAGTAAAAATGTTTTACATACATTAATGAATCTTAATGAACAATATTTTAATCTGATGCTTTTGAATATACAGAACAAAATCTTATTATACAATATTGAATACACTTAGAGAAAAATACATCAAAACAAGAGTTTTATCACAGTGAATAGCATTCAGTAGTTCTCTCTGGAATGTCAGAAGCTGGAGAAGCTTCATTTACTGACTTTATATTCATATTCAGTAGCCCTAGGAAAGTAATCTAACCATTTGGCATCTGTGAAAACATATGTATGTCTGACAGAATGTGTAGTTCTTTTTCTAGATACCTCCAACATACCTCAAGTGTTTTGACAGACTCTCTTTGTTATGGGTTTAAAAGTATTGGCAACATCTCTGGACTTTATATCTATACAAATCTGTTGTTTTTATTCTTTGCTTGTTCTCTTTCAAGGTGAAGGTTCAAGGTTTTAATCATCTGTTGAAAACTTTTCATTGTGGGGTTTTTGAAGCCAACTATCTCCAGTTTAAGTTCTTTGATGTCCAAAAATCTATTTCCATCTTTATCCAGCATATTAAAATTATCCATTAATTATTCTTGTACTTCTCCATTAACAATAAACTCTTCCTGATTGTGTTTGTGATTTTTGTTAATGTTTTTTTATCATATCGAACTGAAATGCACTGTTCTTTCCAACTTCCATGTCTCATGACAAGCATTTCCCTAAGGAACAAGTTAAAAGTTATGTGAGTTTTAATCTTAAGCTTAAATGCATTTTAATGTACAGAGATACTTCAACACTTCACACAATGTGTGGGTGGTTTCTGTTAGTTTACTTCTGTCAAAACATCATGGTCATCTGCTTCAGATGAGTTATCTGAATCTTCCTTATGTAGTGGGTGCAAAATATTATCAGGTATGAAAGATATCTGGATCATTTAAGCTGTTATCTGCATGGACATCCAGAATATTGTCAAATGTTGCTACTGCTTCCGTGTCAGTGATTATCAGCCAAAGATTTGTAAAGAGCATTCAGTGCTTCCTTCAGTGTTTTTACTTTTTTTTTCATTGTATTTGTCTTCCATCTCTTGTTCTATTGGTTCTGGAGGATCAAAGCTTGCTTGACAAAAGCATTTCCAAATTATTTGTGGGAACCTCTAGCAATGCTTTATCAATCCAGTGGCTTGCATCTAGAACTATGACAACTTTCAGAAACTCACTTATGTTACTGGAACTGTCTGCTACTGTGACAAGCCTTTGAACAAGCTAATTTCTGTATTAGATCTTTGTCATCTGGATGATTCCACACACTAAAGGCTGGACTTCACTCATCAAGTTTGGAGGCAGAAACTGCACATAGCTGTTTGAGAGCATTGTGTAGATGTGATTGGTTGTATTGGTGGATGTGAAAAAAAGGAGAATTTTTCATTTGGTGTGCTTCATTTGCTTGTCATTGTCCTTAATCCATTCAATGAGATGTCATCCATTACTTTTTGTTCCTTCTCCAAGTCACTGTAAGATGTTCAGGCTTAGCTTTGTTCTGCCTGAATACATTTGGGTATAATAAAAAAATGGAGAAGACACTGAGGTCGGCGTTACATGTACGTTTTCTTATCGCTTGGATAAGAAAACTTACATGTAACGCCAACCTCAGTGTCTTATACATTTTATTTTATTATACAATATTTTGGCGTGATAGTCATCCTATTGATTACATTTGGGTATTCTGCATTGCCAGTAACTAGTTGTTTCAGTTTTTCACCTGTCAACCTACAGCAAAAAAGCACACTAAGACATTCTGTTTTTTTTTGCCTGCTTTGCATGACACTCCTTTTTGTTTTGCACAAGTGATCATGTCAGTAGCTGTTGATAGAAGAATCTGGTTGATAAAACCAGATTCTTCTACCTACTAGTGTTAAATCTGTTCTTTATGTCATAATCTTTTGTGAAAGTTGGAAGCTTTGTTTTCTGTAAAATTATTGGAAACTGAAATATCTATTTTTCAAACACATTGAAATTATTAAAACTAAAGAAACACACAGAATGAACTTAAATACAGGTGCAGTCATAAATGACATCTGGCAGCCATTCTTAAGTAGCAAATCCCATAAGATGTTCTACCACCCTTCCTCTATCATATCCCCACTGTGCAAGTCACACCAAACTTTCAGTGTATGTTACAAGGATTACTTACTTCTTTTTAACCTCTCATATCTTGTCTATGTTTTCTGTACATTTCATCAGAATTATTTCATACCATACAGGTTAGGTTATTAATTTTAAAAAATTCAGTTATTAATTTTAAAAAATTCCACCTCTTAACATATACTTAATTTTAGATTTAAGTTCACCCCTTTTTTATTTTAGCACATGTTATGCTATCCTAATGTGTATATGTGAGGAGCCAAAAGAATTTTTAGCTCCTTTTTTCTTTTTCAACTACATGTATATCTTCTTACGAGTCATGTTGGTTTAACTGTCACTATCTCTTGTAATTAAGTTTTATTATATAAATCATTGTACACATATCCTAATTTTTTCAATGCATTCTGTAAATTTGTAAACCTATAATCAATTTACTGATAAATATGTAATAATAGGACTGAAGAGGGCCGTTAAGCCTGAAATGCATATCTGTTCACACCAATAAAACAACCTTTTTCCTCTGAAAGTGTTCCTGTGTGATATGTTCTCAACGGTAACATTGTGCTAAGAAAATAAATGAAATATCTATATTTGCAGTTAAACTGCAGCGAACATTGAAGACTATGTTGTGTCTTTAGAATCATTGCAGCCATCCGTTGTTTTAAAGTCGCTGATTTCAAGATCTTCAGCAATCTTCTTGGCACTTGAAGCATGGTTCTGTTACAGGAATACTCTTTGCCGTCAACGCTAGAAAAATTCCATGACTTCTCTATTGATGTCATCACTCTGTGCATATTCAACTCATCTTCTTTTGGGAGAGCTATTTTTTTCCCACACAGCAATGATGTCAGCCTTGTTTCTGCTGATGTTGGAAATGGTAGATTTTGCAATCCCATATTCAAGTTCTAAGTTACCAATAGTTTTCTTCCTTTGAAAGATGGTCCAAAAATTTTTTTTTTCAAGACTCAGCTTAACCAGATTTCTGTATCTCAACTGTACACAACCATAATAAGCCTATACATGCGTACCACAAGTTGGAAAGATGGACCTGCTTGTATAATTTGTCAATTACACAATGGATATCATTTCTGAAGCAAACAGTGTGAAATGAAATGAATTTGAGGAATCAATAAACTCTTTAAGATCTGGAGAATGCATGTGGTCAAGTTGACATACTTTTTAAACATTCATAATTAACAAAAAAAATTTCAGGAATTAATTATAAATTATACAGTATTGTAGTAAGATATGCTGTGAAGCATGGTCACATGATGATTATTAAAACAGTGTTGTATTAAGGCTTCATTTACATATTGTCTTGGCCTTTGGACCTGATTTACTACAGGATGGAAGACAGTAGACCAATAACAATCATGTTCAACTTGCCTGGCTTGAGGTCATTCCAAGATACAGGATAGAAAGGTGACAAGTTAGTAAGGGACAGATATATGGTAAAGCCTGTTCTTTCATCTGAAAGAACAGGCTATACCATGTATCTGTACTTGGTTAGATTTTCTTCTAAGGAAGAGTTCCTAACTTAATGGGTGGCCAGCTTTCGAGTTTTACTGTATTATTATTATTTTATTTTTCTGTTGATTAGAAACAGTTAGATGATGTGATTATAAACGATAAAAATTAAAATTAACTTACATTTGTTGACTTATAATTTGAAAATTTGTACATTAAAGATTTTTTTTTACTATAATTTTTTATATTTACAGGAAAGTGGAGATTATCCTTTAATAATGACTGGCCCACAATGGAAAAAATTTCGATCTAATTTTTGTGAATTTGTTCAAGTTTTGGTTCGACAGTGTCAATATAGTATAATATATGATCAATATTTAATGGACAATGTTATCTCTTTACTGACTGGTTTATCTGATTCCCAAGTTAGAGCTTTTCGTCACACTGCTACCCTTGCAGGTAATATGATTTATATAAGAGCAAATAAGTAAATCTCTAGTAATTGTTATGAAATTGTTTTTAGTATAATTTATAACAGAAAATTCATATACTAAAAATATGATTATTAAAAGTAATTTTGTAATTTGTACTAAAAATATAAATTTTTTAAATACAAAGAATAATAAATTGAATTATTTTATTAATTTATTGTATATTTCAAAATTACTTCATATTCAAGAAGTAAGTGAAAAGAGAACAGTTATTAAAAAGTTGTATTTTAAGAATAATTTGGAGATGCTTTTATGCACATCTCAAAATGAATTATCTTAAAATATATAAAAATATACAATATAAAGTTGGAATGTTTTGCAAAGTTTATCTACATACATATTTGTGCTGAACACATTTGCAAACTAGTTTAAGCATACAGTGGTGTCTCATGTAATGTACTTAATCCATTCCAGGTGCATGTCTGTAAAGTGAAAAGTCTGTTATACAAAATGCATTTCCCTTAGAAATACATGTTAAAACATATAATTCGTTCCGCAGCATAAAATAACCGTACTGTACCATAAAAAAAAAAAATGAAAATGGAGCAGTCACCAAATTATGCCGGGTAGTCAGATGTTGTGAGGAGGAGGTGGAGGAACACTTTCTTCACACATTCATACAGATACAGACTTTTTACACATTGCAGCAGGTCTCTTTTTATTGTTTTTTAATCGGAGTCAGATTCAGGAGAGGCTACCTGAACTTTCAGGGTCAACTCTTCTTGTTCCATCCTTTGTTTTTTGCCTGCTGGCTTCTTGAAAAACATGTCCAAGGTGGTCTGTTTCTCTTTCTTCTTCAACACCTGTCGGAAATAACAGGCAAAGGTGTCATTGTAGAGATCATTGATCCTGTTGGCCTCAGCTCTGTTTGGATAATGAGTGTTGGTAAACTCCTGAACCTCTCCCCATTTGACAAGGAAGTTTCTGTCAACTTTCAGGACTTATCATATTAATTAATAGGACTATTAATAGGAAAAATTAATTTTTTATTTTTCACCTGTTGTTTTCCACAGTCCTTACTTGACAATAATATAATAAAATAGTATAGTTATAAAGTAATCTATAGAGTTTTTATAATAAATTTATAAAAGTTGTAGATTTTATGATCAATTTAAAATATTCATATAAATTAATCATTTACTGGTTTAAAAGTTGCAACTAAAGAAAAATTTCCTTGATTGGATAACTTCAGTAGTAGAATTTACAAACTTAGAACTAAATGCTGTTCTATACCTGTAAATATTTATAATAGATTAAGAGAACATAGGGTTGATAATAAGTTCACCAGCTAAATCTTTAATTTTCTTGTGAAATATATTTTATAATTTGAAGTAATTGTAAATTTGAAACTGTTTTATTGAAATTCTAATAAAATATATTTATTGTTAATTGATTAATATATATATATATAAATGGACATGTTTGTGCCTATATTTCACTCTGCAGCCAAAACTACACATCGCACGTGAATGGTGTTTGTGTGTGGTAGTAGCCCCCAAGTCTCCCATCATGCACTATGGTTGTTGCGTCTTGATAGCTATAAGGGTGTGGAAGATATGGTGTTGAAAGCAGTTGACTTCTAAAATGTGTAACAATGGAAGTGTTCAGTAACAAAGGAAGTGTTAAGAGAAAGTGGCGTGCAAGATTTACAGACGCAGATGCTGTTTTTGCGGGAAATCGAACATATTTTTAGACTCATGTAAAAATTATCTAATTAGTCTGGAAACGGGGAACCTAATTCTTGCATTCTGTGAAAACGGGTAAGATTGGCTATAATGTAATCTTAATCTTAAATGTTTTGGAATAGTCGAGGACCATTATGTGTGAGTAGTGGGGATGGCTTTTGGAGACGTGTGATGCACATGCTTCAGTTGATTTTTTATACGTAACAGTGTACGAATAACAGAAAAAAGTGAAAAGTGAATAGTGAAGTGTGAAAAGTAAAAATACAAAAAAACAATGCCAAAGTGTAAGAAAGAAACTTTGCAGCCTCGAATCATATCTCAAAGGCAAAAGATGGCATGGAGAAATGAAACCATGGAAGAAAGAGAAGTACATCTAACATTGCTATGAGAAAATTATTAATGAAACAGAAATAATCAGACAGAAGAGCAACTTGAAAATTATAGGGAAACACATCGAATCAGAGAAAGATTATGTACAGGAAAAGAAACAGTCTTTTATATATATAAAAAAAAACTATACAATGGAACCCCGGTTAACGAACTTAATCCGTTCCGCGACTCCGTTCGTTAACCGAATTGTTCGTTAACCGAAGCAATTTTTCCCATAGAAATTAATGCAAATGCAATTAATCCGTTCTAGTCGCCGAAATTTTTGCGATTTTATTTGTAATATACAGTAATTTTCTTTGATGAAAATGTAAGAAAACGTAGTATGTATCATTACAGCAACAAACATGTAAACTTTGTTTAATAAACTAGAACTGTACATACCTTCGTTTGTTGTAGTTGGTGGCAGAAAAGTGGAGATATACGAACCTTAATGCTTAGAAGGGGAATCCCCTCCAAAAAATAACGGGTAGCACTTCATTGGAAGATTCTTCGAGTCGAAGTCTCTTTCGGTAAAAAAAACCCCCCAGTGGCTAAGTGGTCTTCGTACCTTGAACACGGGGAGTTCGTTCGTGGGTTCGCACCTCGCTCAGACGGGCTGGCCATGTGGAGTTTTCCGGGTTTTCTCCACGTCTGTAACGCCTAAATAGGGGCCAGTTTCCCTTAAAAACACCTCCCAGAAGGCATTCCCCTAGGCAGATCGCCCAAGTGTTGCGTTGCCATAACTTAACAAACAAACAAACTCTTTCCGTAAGGAACAAGAAATTGATCTAAAGTTGATTGTCTTACTATTTTAATCAAAATTTTTCTCAAATGCGATAGCGCATTGTCGTTTATATTGCGTTGTCGTTTTCTATTGCCACTATTATGACTTTTTTCTTTCTTGGATGCCATATTGATTAAATATATAAATCACAAAACTGAAAAAGGAAGCATAGCACAAACACTTGGAAAAGCAATGTTTAACTCGCGCATGCCTAACACCAACTAAAATTTGACACAAAATACCGTTACGTTCGTTATCTGAGACAAATTTTTTGCAAAATAAAAGTTCGTTAACCGATTTGGTCGTTAACCAGGACATTCGTTAACCGGGGTTCCACTGTATTACATATGTATGAACAAATAAAAACCCAGCGAAGCGGGTACTTGCAGCTAGTTTAATAATAAACATTTTAGTTTTATTCTTTAAGTCAAACAATACTGCTTTATGTAAAAAATATAAATCCCAATAATTGATACCACAAAAGTTTTTTCTTATTAAAAATTTCAAGTATAATCAGAAATTACTTTTAATTTTCATATTTCTTTATTTTTTTCTGTTTAATGCATAAATAAATTATTTAATTTTAAAATGATGAGAGTATTTTTTTATGTACTTGCATTATATTTCGATGATTATTTTAATGCTCTGACCATATAATCAATGATGATTTCATTTAAGGCAGACTATGAGAAAAATTGACTTAAGGATTTTGTTTTCTATATTTAAATACAAAATTAGAATACATAATTATTAAATTTCTTTTTTATTTAGCAATGAAATTAATGACTGCTCTAGTAGATGTAGCACTTAATCTGAGTATTAATTTGGATAATACTCAAAGACAGTATGAAGCAGAGCGTCAAAAAAATAGAGATAAACGAGCTACAGAAAGACTTGAAATGCTAATGAGCAAGAGACAGGAAGTAAGAATAATAATTTTATTTGCATTATAGTTAAGAAATTTAACATCGTTGATGAAATTTTTTAATTTTGGAAAGAGATATGAATTATGAATGATATATATTTATTTATTTTCTATAAAGACAAATGAAATAATTTATTTTATGATAATTTTTTATAAATATTTTTTAAAGTTTATAATCTATACTGTATACTATAAATTTAAAGTTTTTATTTGATTGCTATTGCTTTTATGTTAATATTTCTAACAATTATAATTATAATAAATAAAATTTACATTTTTCTCACACTTTTCAGTAGTAACTGTTTAATAAATGAACATTTTCAGACACATTCAGGGGCCTGCATCAGGTTAAGCTGATATGAAATTGAACATCTATAGCAGAAAACTTTGAACCTGTTATAGACGTTTGATTTTGTTATTAGCTTAAGCTGATGCAAGCTGTCCCTTAATATGGCTGAAAACATTTGTTTATTAAACAGTTACTGCTGAAAAGTGTGAGAAAAATGTAAATTTTCTTTATTATACGATAGTTTCAGCATATGGATTCAATAAAATTATAATTATTAATATTATATTAAAATTTTCTTATAGCTTGAAGAAAATATGGAAGAGATAAAAAATATGTTAACGTATATGTTCAAGAGTGTGTTTGTTCATCGTTACAGGTTTGTGTAATATATAGTTTAATTTTAAAAATATATTTAATTTATTAGCATACTTTCTATTACTTTCGTGATTTAGAATAAAATACATTTTTATCATATCAGAAAATTTCATGAAGGTTTCGTATCTTCTGAATCTGAAACAGAATTCAAAAATTTGATTATGATTTAATTTTTAAATTATAATTTCTGTTTTAAAATAATTTGAATATACTAATTTAATATTGATTTTAAAATCATAAATATAAGTTGAAAGAAGGAAAATTTATGTATATTTTAGTAAATTGGCAATTATTTAAATGTATTAATTATGTTATGTTCATCTAAAGATGAAATGTAAACAATATTTATGAAATATTTTCTTTTACAGTATTATATTTAACAAAATATGTCAAAATTATTATTATTATAAATATTTTTATTTACATTAAGGGTAAGCTTTGTTACAGGGGGTATATTTTTCCAGTAATTTATTAGTATATATTTGTTATCTAACAATCGTTTAGTATACATTTTCTTCAAGATAAACAATAACATTACAATAATCATTTAGTAGTACATTTTTGTCATTAGTTTCCTTTTAAATATTTTACTTTAAGTAACATAGTTAGTAGACAATATTTTAATTCTATTAATTTATCACATATTTTTTAGTTCTTTGGCAATTTGATTAAAAGATCCATTAATTGTATACATTTGACTTAACATAAGATTGTTTAATTTAGTTCTAAAGTCTTGATTTTGTTTTGTACATAATAGTTCTTTAATTTCGTGTTTTTGATGGTAAAATACGTCAAAATTATTCAAATACAGTAAGACCTCACTTAACGCAGTGGATACATTCCTAAATGACAAAGCACTAAATGAAATAGCATTAAATGAGATCATTTTAACACAGAGTAAATAGGGAAAGGGGAACATGCAACCAAAAATAAACAGATTTTACTTTAAGTTATTTTTAAATTAACTTGCATAATAATATATGTTAAATAACATAAATATATGCACACAGAAATGTAAAGTTCATTTTTTGTGATAAAGGTTCTTGGTTGGTTGTTTCTAAATTTTGAATCAGCATCAAAATTTTTACAAGATATGATTTATAAATTTATTTGGCAACATCAGGAACATGTAAATTAACAAAAATTTATCTTTGAAAAGGATTAAAATATGATGATCTAGTCAATAAAAAGTTTTAATTATTTTAACTAATAAGCTAGTTACTGGCTACATAGTCAAATATCCTATTGTCATGGAGATTCTGATTTGAATCTGAACCTCATAATTTACTGTAGATAGTAAATAAAATATCATTTCTTTTTCTTTGTCCATGCTGTGGATGGCTGGATGACATGGAGCCTGCTTAACAAAACATTGGAGCCATTCAATATGGGCAAGCTTGTAATAGATGAAAGTGTAGACAGCAATAGAGGCTTAATGTATTGGTGCTTGATATTGACAAATCAGTGAATTAGTTTAAGTAATAAAATAACAACTTGATTTTAATTTTAAAATATTATTTAAATATAAATAGATTTTGATGTTTATATTTTAACAAATGAATTTGTTATAGTGTTGTTTTAATATACTTTATTCTGATTCAACTTCAAAAACATTCAAATATATTGGTTTTTTTGAAAAAGTTATTTAAATATTTATCTTGGAATTTTTTTTATATTATTACATTTTTATTATAATACATTAATCAAGAATTTTGAGATGAAAAGATCTACATTTGTTATACCCAAATTGAATGCCTTATTAATGTCAATATATACAACTTTATATATTGACATTAATAGGACATTCAATTTAGTTATACTTTCCCTCTTATTAGACTTTTTAAAAAACCATTTTGACATTCACTTTACTGTTCTAGCTTGATTAAATAAATATTTGTTACTATTTCTTATGTTAACTCTAAAATTATAGTTTATGCTGACAATCTAAAAATTATCAACTCCAATTTTGAAATTTATAAGCTGATCTCAATATTCTAGTCACCTTCCTCATGTCTTTCAGCCTTAAAATAAATTTATCCAAAACAGTATTAATGAATACAATTCTAGTATTAATCAATTTCATCCACAAGTGTTGAACTGTTGAATGGTTTAATAAGTTTTTACTGGAATGTCTGACAATCTTACAAGATAGTGGAAGCAAGTAGTGTTATAATGACCATATAGAATTTGTCATAAGCAGTTCACTTTTAAAATAAAGAACTTATCTCTGTACAAAACAATAACATTTCATGTTCAGTTCTTGATGAATTAAGCTATTCACTTACAATACTGTAAAACCTCTGTAAGTTGGACATTTTTTGGTTCCATAAGAATGTGTCCAATTTAGACATGTCCAAAATATAGTAGTGAGTAGTTTTTGTCTTGAAAAAATCTTAATCTAGATTTGCAGGAATAATAATAATAACTTGTGCCTATTCTAAGATTTATCAAGCAAAATGTATGTGCTGCATAAATAACATTATCAAGTTATTGATTTTTCTTCAGATACTGTACAGTATTAACATTTTAAACATGAACACAATCACTCATTTAATCTTGCTTTAGTTTTAATGCTCTTTAAATAATCATACTGCTTGAGAAGGACTAATAATTACATGATTGATTTAATGGGATATGACAATGCAATAAGAAGATTCTGGAAACATCTATGGAAAACTGGTCCTATTTAGATGTTAGGCATGTGAAGAAAATCCAGAAAACTCCATACACCAGCCTGTTGATGAGGAGTAAACACATGACTACTTAATCTAGCATTTAATGATTTCATACACATGACCCCTGGTGGACAATAGGCATATGAATGAAAGTTGGATGACTAAGGAAGAAAAGTCCTCAGCTTACCACTGTGGAGGACCTGAAATTGAATCCAGACAGGTTGATAAACCCAAGGATTTTTTTGAGAAGAGATCTGTTCTTGAGATGGTTTTGATCTACAGAAATCTGTCTGGAGAAAACCCAATGCTCACAGACAATGTTTCACTTGGTCCCATATGAACATTGGAAAATGGAAAATTCCAATTGAGCTTCTGAACAATTGAGATGGAAATTGGATTTTTGATCAATTCAGAATGCCTAATAGAAAATAAGAACTAAGAGTAATTAATGGCAAACAGTAGTATACAATAATAAAAATTAAAAGTGAAGTTGCACCAAATCTCATTTCAAAGGTCTTAGTTTTGTCAGTTTGAAATGTAAGTGAAGGAAGGAGGCTCTGAAGAGTAAAAGAATCAAACAGGAAACAGAAAAGCAGAAGAAAAGATGTCTTATAAGGAAGAATATAGGAGAATTATCTTAGAAAAAGTAAAAAGTTCTTGCAGAAGTTGCTAGCCTAGATGAAGAAATAGAAATTTTGAAGAAATTGCTATGATAAGATTGCTCTTCGTAAACATGGTATTAAGAATTTCATAAATATAGCAGATTTGTTGTTATGACTTGTAAACTTTCTTCTTTAGGGAATAGTAAAGAAAGTTTAAAAGACACAATGTACTCAATAATTGCGGAAGCACTGAAGAAGCTTGGGGTGTTAACTTAGTTGAGAATAAATAAGTTCTGTTTATGAATCCTGTGATGTTAGTTTTGTATTTTTCCACCTTTGTATGTGTATAACAAGACAATTGTCAGATGAAAAATGAAAAAAAAGTATGTAAAACTCAGGTATATTCAAAACTAGCTTCTAGTAGACACCCTGAACAACTTTAAACATGGAGTTCTTTTTATTTTTTTTACATTTACGTGTAAAAAGTCCTTTATAAGTTACAGTATGTATATGTAATAAAAGAAGTACAATGGTATCTTGTTATAATTTTTAATGTTTATATGTTATATGCAGCTTAGAAATTATATACATTTTGTAAATTTTACCTCTTATTCATTAGTTATTAATAGTTTACGTGTATTTTATTGTTTTGTTTTTTACCTGTTGTTACGTGTGGTATTTTTTTATGGGTAAATGAATGGGGTAGTAATCTCATGCTATATAGCATTACGTAATGAATATAAATAAAATAAATTTAAAAATTGTTTATAATTAGTAAAATAATAAATATAAGTTACAGAAGAATTACATTATTGAATTTCATTTTTTTCTTCTAGAGACACACTGCCAGAAATAAGATCGATTTGTATGTATGAAATTGGCCAGTGGATGAAAAAATTTCATCAACATTTTCTTGATGATAGTTATTTGAAATATATTGGATGGACTTTACATGACAAAGTAAGATCTCAGAATTATATGTTTTATAAATATATAAATAGAGTGAAACCTATGTTAATGGACACTCCCGAATAGCAGACACTTCTACTTAATGGACATTTTTAGAATTCCCAGACTCTTCAAATAGGACATTTATTATATTTACCTCTAAATAGTGAGTGGATGCCGTTGTCCATAACCAACCTTACAAAAACACAATGTCCTGCCTTTAATACTTCAAAAGAATTAATTATGTAAGAAATATTTTAAGACAATAACAAAGAATCTGTTCAAATACTCTTTCAGATGATGGATTTTGACTGTAGGCATCAAATAAAGACTAGTTTAAAATAGGAATAGGAGAGGAGAGCAGGTTATAAGAAGTCAAACAATGTTCTATCTGTTAGAGAACTCTGAAGTAATCTGGTTAAGTTGTCAATCACCAATTTATTATTAAACATATTAATGTTATTAAACTTCTGTCTTATTGTTGGAATTAAGCTTATGTTATAAAGGAACCAAACTTTTCTTGAGTTATTCATTTATTCGGCAAGAACTGTAGTATTGTAGTTATAAAAATAAATTTAAGATCATAAATGATGTCATAAACGCAAGAAAATTGAATATCTTTTCACGCTTTAAAATGGTTGGCAAATTGCCTTTGTAACACGACCTTTGAACTTTCGCCAAACAAATGCTGTTTATCAGCTTTGTGGTGGCTAAAGTGTAATATTTAATAAATCAGTTACTGAAAATAACAAAAATGTTCAAAAAGTTACATGTACAAAGCAAACAAATCCTGTATTGATTTTTATTAGTTCATTAAATCATAAATTATGTTATAAATGTAACAACTCTGAATATATTTACCATCCCTTGAAGTGGATAACTTGAAGACAGATTTCTGTAGATCAAAATCATCTCAAGAACAGATCTCTTCTCAAAACACCTTCATAACTCAACATTTAAACATGATTTAATTAAAATGAGATTTTTACAACTGAAAAAATANCACGTCTGTAACGCCTAAATAGGGGCCAGTTTCCCTTAAAAACACCTCCCAGAAGGCATTCCCCTAGGCAGATCGCCCAAGTGTTGCGTTGCCATAACTTAACAAACAAACAAACTCTTTCCGTAAGGAACAAGAAATTGATCTAAAGTTGATTGTCTTACTATTTTAATCAAAATTTTTCTCAAATGCGATAGCGCATTGTCGTTTATATTGCGTTGTCGTTTTCTATTGCCACTATTATGACTTTTTTCTTTCTTGGATGCCATATTGATTAAATATATAAATCACAAAACTGAAAAAGGAAGCATAGCACAAACACTTGGAAAAGCAATGTTTAACTCGCGCATGCCTAACACCAACTAAAATTTGACACAAAATACCGTTACGTTCGTTATCTGAGACAAATTTTTTGCAAAATAAAAGTTCGTTAACCGATTTGGTCGTTAACCAGGACATTCGTTAACCGGGGTTCCACTGTATTACATATGTATGAACAAATAAAAACCCAGCGAAGCGGGTACTTGCAGCTAGTTTAATAATAAACATTTTAGTTTTATTCTTTAAGTCAAACAATACTGCTTTATGTAAAAAATATAAATCCCAATAATTGATACCACAAAAGTTTTTTCTTATTAAAAATTTCAAGTATAATCAGAAATTACTTTTAATTTTCATATTTCTTTATTTTTTTCTGTTTAATGCATAAATAAATTATTTAATTTTAAAATGATGAGAGTATTTTTTTATGTACTTGCATTATATTTCGATGATTATTTTAATGCTCTGACCATATAATCAATGATGATTTCATTTAAGGCAGACTATGAGAAAAATTGACTTAAGGATTTTGTTTTCTATATTTAAATACAAAATTAGAATACATAATTATTAAATTTCTTTTTTATTTAGCAATGAAATTAATGACTGCTCTAGTAGATGTAGCACTTAATCTGAGTATTAATTTGGATAATACTCAAAGACAGTATGAAGCAGAGCGTCAAAAAAATAGAGATAAACGAGCTACAGAAAGACTTGAAATGCTAATGAGCAAGAGACAGGAAGTAAGAATAATAATTTTATTTGCATTATAGTTAAGAAATTTAACATCGTTGATGAAATTTTTTAATTTTGGAAAGAGATATGAATTATGAATGATATATATTTATTTATTTTCTATAAAGACAAATGAAATAATTTATTTTATGATAATTTTTTATAAATATTTTTTAAAGTTTATAATCTATACTGTATACTATAAATTTAAAGTTTTTATTTGATTGCTATTGCTTTTATGTTAATATTTCTAACAATTATAATTATAATAAATAAAATTTACATTTTTCTCACACTTTTCAGTAGTAACTGTTTAATAAATGAACATTTTCAGACACATTCAGGGGCCTGCATCAGGTTAAGCTGATATGAAATTGAACATCTATAGCAGAAAACTTTGAACCTGTTATAGACGTTTGATTTCGTTATTAGCTTAAGCTGATGCAAGCTGTCCCTTAATATGGCTGAAAACATTTGTTTATTAAACAGTTACTGCTGAAAAGTGTGAGAAAAATGTAAATTTTCTTTATTATACGATAGTTTCAGCATATGGATTCAATAAAATTATAATTATTAATATTATATTAAAATTTTCTTATAGCTTGAAGAAAATATGGAAGAGATAAAAAATATGTTAACGTATATGTTCAAGAGTGTGTTTGTTCATCGTTACAGGTTTGTGTAATATATAGTTTAATTTTAAAAATATATTTAATTTATTAGCATACTTTCTATTACTTTCGTGATTTAGAATAAAATACATTTTTATCATATCAGAAAATTTCATGAAGGTTTCGTATCTTCTGAATCTGAAACAGAATTCAAAAATTTGATTATGATTTAATTTTTAAATTATAATTTCTGTTTTAAAATAATTTGAATATACTAATTTAATATTGATTTTAAAATCATAAATATAAGTTGAAAGAAGGAAAATTTATGTATATTTTAGTAAATTGGCAATTATTTAAATGTATTAATTATGTTATGTTCATCTAAAGATGAAATGTAAACAATATTTATGAAATATTTTCTTTTACAGTATTATATTTAACAAAATATGTCAAAATTATTATTATTATAAATATTTTTATTTACATTAAGGGTAAGCTTTGTTACAGGGGGTATATTTTTCCAGTAATTTATTAGTATATATTTGTTATCTAACAATCGTTTAGTATACATTTTCTTCAAGATAAACAATAACATTACAATAATCATTTAGTAGTACATTTTTGTCATTAGTTTCCTTTTAAATATTTTACTTTAAGTAACATAGTTAGTAGACAATATTTTAATTCTATTAATTTATCACATATTTTTTAGTTCTTTGGCAATTTGATTAAAAGATCCATTAATTGTATACATTTGACTTAACATAAGATTGTTTAATTTAGTTCTAAAGTCTTGATTTTGTTTTGTACATAATAGTTCTTTAATTTCGTGTTTTTGATGGTAAAATACGTCAAAATTATTCAAATACAGTAAGACCTCACTTAACGCAGTGGATACATTCCTAAATGACAAAGCACTAAATGAAATAGCATTAAATGAGATCATTTTAACACAGAGTAAATAGGGAAATGGGAACATGCAACCAAAAATAAACAGATTTTACTTTAAGTTATTTTTAAATTAACTTGCATAATAATATATGTTAAATAACATAAATATATGCACACAGAAATGTAAAGTTCATTTTTTGTGATAAAGGTTCTTGGTTGGTTGTTTCTAAATTTTGAATCAGCATCAAAATTTTTACAAGATATGATTTATAAATTTATTTGGCAACATCAGGAACATGTAAATTAACAAAAATTTATCTTTGAAAAGGATTAAAATATGATGATCTAGTCAATAAAAAGTTTTAATTATTTTAACTAATAAGCTAGTTACTGGCTACATAGTCAAATATCCTATTGTCATGGAGATTCTGATTTGAATCTGAACCTCATAATTTACTGTAGATAGTAAATAAAATATCATTTCTTTTTCTTTGTCCATGCTGTGGATGGCTGGATGACATCGAGCCTGCTTAACAAAACATTGGAGCCATTCAATATGGGCAAGCTTGTAATAGATGAAAGTGTAGACAGCAATAGAGGCTTAATGTATTGGTGCTTGATATTGACAAATCAGTGAATTAGTTTAAGTAATATAATTAATGAACAATATTTTAATTCTATTAATTTATCACATATTTTTTAGTTCTTTGGCAATTTGATTAAAAAAAAAACCATCAATTTTATACATTTGATTTAACATAAGATTGTTTAATTTAGTTCTAAAGTCTTGATTTTGTTTTGTACATAATAGTTCTTTAATTTCGTGTTTTTGATGGTAAAATACGTCAAAATTATTCAAATACAGTAAGACCTCACTTAACGCAGTGGATACATTCCTAAATGACAAAGCACTAAATGAAATAGCATTAAATGAGATCATTTTAACACAGAGTAAATAGGGAAATGGGAACATGCAACCAAAAATAAACAGATTTTACTTTAAGTTATTTTTAAATTAACTTGCATAATAATATATGTTAAATAACATAAATATATGCACACAGAAATGTAAAGTTCATTTTTTGTGATAAAGGTTCTTGGTTGGTTGTTTCTAAATTTTGAATCAGCATCAAAATTTTTACAAGATATGATTTATAAATTTATTTGGCAACATCAGGAACATGTAAATTAACAAAAATTTATCTTTGAAAAGGATTAAAATATGATGATCTAGTCAATAAAAAGTTTTAATTATTTTAACTAATAAGCTAGTTACTGGCTACATAGTCAAATATCCTATTGTCATGGAGATTCTGATTTGAATCTGAACCTCATAATTTACTGTAGATAGTAAATAAAATATCATTTCTTTTTCTTTGTCCATGCTGTGGATGGCTGGATGACATCGAGCCTGCTTAACAAAACATTGGAGCCATTCAATATGGGCAAGC